TTTTTTTTTTTTTTGGTACAGAGACCTTCCGGTTTCTGGATTCACAGGAGAACCGACTAATCCGAAATCGAGTCGGGTAGGACCACAAGGGCGGCAACCATGTAATAACATTAATTTGAGGGAAATGATACGGTCCTGTTACGGAACCATTTCGTCGGAGTTTGTAACTGATAGATCATCATGTATTCGTCGGTGATGGTTGGTTTAACGACTACAAACCCCGACAGAATGATTTCGTAACAAGATTGTAGCATCTCCCTTGATTTGATAGAGAATCATCATTTGCCTAATTTTACGAGAGAATATAAAGCACTATCTTTCATCCACCAAAAACTCACATACATTGAATATTCCTATTAGTTTGACAAGACAACAAATACTAGTTTTCACTACATGGGCCATCAACAATAATTTTTTTATTTATGTATTCTTAATAATTTTATCAGTTGATGATAGGCATTAAGCTAGTTCACAAGCCAGCAATTATGTATTTATATTTATATTAAATATTGATATTATGTAATATAATTGATCAAGCAAAGTTGGCCTTTCTTGTACACAGTTGGTGACATTGTGACATCAACTCCAACAAATCAAAAGCATATATACTCATAATTATTCAACACCAAAAATAGTGCTTTTTTTTTTTTTTTTGAGTTTTTGTGAAGTCCATCAAGCTTTTTTTGTTCTACTACAAAGGTTCTTCCTTTTTCTCTTCTTTGATTGGTTTTCTATCATGAACTTGTTATGTTTTCTCAATCATTTGCTTTTGATGCTTTCTTGTTATGTTCATCAGTTCATGCTATTGATCTAATAGAATTTACTTTTTTATTTCACGTTTTATGAAGATGGTGAACTACTGGAAATCGAAGGTCCTTCCGAAGATCAAGAAAGCTTTCGAGAACCCGAAAAAGGCGGCTGCAGCGGAGGCCTGCAAGGCCTTTGATGAAGCTAAGGTAGTTTTGTTTATTTCTCTAGCAACTTACTTAGGAAGAATCTTTGGGAAGTACATGTGTTAATTGTACATATGGCTTTCTTTATTACATAGGAGCAATATTCGAAAGAGTTGGATGAGAAAAAAACCGAGCTTCAACCCAAAGTCGTTGAAATCTACGAAGCTTCTTCGACCGAGATTAAGGTATATATATGTCATGAGTAAAAAACTATACAGATTATTGACTTAAGTTGTGCTGTAGTTTTTTCTTTCACAGTTGGTTTTGGTGCTTTTGTTTGTTTCTTATGAGCTTTTGTTATGCAATAATAGGCTTTGGTGAAGGAGCCAAAGGGCTCGTCTGTGAAGAAGCACTCGGCTGCAGTTCAGAAGTTCCTAGACGAGCTTGCTAAGATCGGTAAGAGTGTAATTGAATATGGATTTGATTGGTTTTTTTTGTTAATCATAGTTAATTTTGAAAAAAGTGGTATGATTAGTTGTTAATGGGAATTTACAATTGAGTTAAATTTGAAATTTTGATTTTTTTTTTTTTTTTTTTTTGTTAAGTTTATATCCGATCACACACTAAGTATTATTGATATAATGGGCACATTAGCTAATTGTGACGGCTAATAAGCATCAATATATCGATGTAATACAAATCACGTGATGACTATTGTTCGACGTATAAGTAGAGGCTTTCTTGATTTTTTTATCAACGATAATCGGACCTCTTTATCCTTTTTTTTTTTGTTTCCTTTTCGTTTTCCTGTTTATTGGGAGAAAAGAATTTCCGGGTTCGAAACCGGTTTGCGAAGCGGCTACTAAAGTGGGGCCAGCATACATGGTGGGCCCGATCTCGTTCGTCTTGGAGAAAGTGTCTACATTAGTAGTGGTTAAGGAGGAAGAAGAAAAGAAAGTCGAGCAGCCAAAAACCGAGCCGGCTGCAGAGGAAGCCAATAAGACCATCGTCGAGGAAAAGAACATTGTTGAGAAAGAGGAATCAGCTCCATCTGTCGAGAAAGACGAAGCACAGGCAAAACCGGAAGAAGAAGAACCAAAGCCTTGATGATGCTGTATCTATCCTCTCTCGCGTGTGAAAATTCGAACACAAAAGTTTAAGTCCGAACCAAAAACGTGCATTGTATATGTGAAATCAATCGTTCTTTTT